TTCTCTAAGAACAAATTTTCAGGAAAATAGGTGCCTCAAGTCGTTGTTCCTCTAGTATCTGTCGCAGTTGTCGTGGAAAGAAATAACAGGAAGAAAATTTAGGAGCGCCCGTCGTATATATTTTACACTTTTCTTATATTTTCTACGAGAATATTTCGATTTTCTGTTTGCTTGTCTGGCTTCTCGCATTCCAGTCAATTTTGACCTTGAAAAATGCCAACTGTTATCTCCTGTCTTCTTCCTTCATTGTTCTCTCTCCTTAATAATGCTTTTCTTTTACCCATATTCTCTCACACTCAATAATCCCTTGCATCTTAGTGGTTTTTCGCCTTTTTTGAGGTGGAATGATTGAAAGAGAAAAAAAAGAAAGCAAGATTTCAGCTTCAAATACTATTGTGTTTTTTTTACATAATCACCATCATTAATTCGGCATTTTTGTTAACGATCAAAAAACCCTACATGCCGCGCTCGTAACTGTGAGTTGCTACACTTTTTTGCTTCCGTAAGTCATAGAGAGCTATTGTTCACATTTTCTCATAATCATTTTCACTAGGTATGGGTTAATATGTAAGACTTCTATCACTAAACCATTATTATGTAAGGAAAAAAATATCTACAATTTTAAATTATTTTCTGGTTTTAAATATCCTGCAAAGTAAGTCGATAGAAAAAATGAAAAAGTTGATAAGTCGTAGAAAAATAAAAAAAAGTTGGTTATTCTACATCAGACTTCCCCAAGGAGTAGGGACGCGTAAAAACTTAGGGAGTCTCAAATGCAAACCAGATTTTTTGCTTTATTTCATAGTCTAACTTCAGGATCATTATTTATTATTTATTGCAATATAGTGTGAATATTATATTATAATAATAATAATAATAATAATAATAATAATAATAATAATAATAATAATGATCCGTTGCTTGTTGTGGCATAAGGTAAATTTTATGATAATCATTTTAGAAAAGAAACGAAATGAACCTCAAAAAATATTCTAAAACAAAAACAAATTTAAATCGAAAATTAATTTTTTTTCACTTTTATAACAAAATTCAATTAGTAATGACTAAAAAATGGAAAATGTACGTGTGGGGGCGGGGATAAAACACCGAAACAAAAAATACAAGGATAATGATTGGTCACTAATTCTGACTTGTGAATATTGATTTGATTGGTTGTTCAAAGTATCCCACGAGGGACTTTTTTGTTTGTTTTTTTTCTTTTTTTTTTTTTTTTGTTTTTACATGAGAACAGCGGAAAAATAGAAGAGAATGTAATTATTGAAAATGACACGCGAACTAAATTTTCAAAATATGAATAGGTCAACGACAATGATTTTTATCATTTTTTCCGAGTGAAATGAAAGTAGCTGCCACACTAATGGATCTCTGGTTGCATCTTAACCTTTTCCATAATTTTTAATGGAAGATCACATTTAATTATTGGAATCTGGTGTTAGCAGGTCATCATAAAGATTTTATTTACTTTTTTTTTTACTGCTGTCACAAGGATACAAGTATGGGGCATTCAATGAAGCTCAGACACACTATTCAATAATAATACTACGCGGGAATAATTCGATGAATAATGACGAGGCTCCCGGTTTAACGTAAACTTTGGTGATATATTCTAATTTTGCTGTAACATTTCCGTTCTCTGTAAAAACACTTCCTAAGTGTTTACATTTCTATAAATGCCGGATTTTGAAATCCTTAATTTGTAGCTCGCATACTTTTTTTTAACGACCTTACGTGCAGTCTTCTTGCAATTTATGGTTAGTACTTTCTTCTTGTTTTTCTTTTCTACCTTGTTTAGGAGTTCTTGCGGTTTCTGTGGTTACCATCAACAGAGTGTCATCTGCGTATAATATGTTGTGAACATGGTGACAGCTGATAATAAATCCTAATTGTGGAGGGCCATGATCATCCACATCCTGAAGAGATACAGCATATAGAAGAACATTCATATCAGCCATTGCACTGCTATCACCATCTTTAGTTAACTTTACAAGCAATAAAAATGTGTAAACTTTATTTTGTGATTCCAACGAACACTCGTTGTCACTTTCATAATGCTCGTTGTAGTAGAGACTTTGTAATAGTATAGTACGCCGTTGAACAATACTGGTGTCAGACGCCTTCGAACAACACTCGCACTAACAGTACTTTCTCGATAATACTCGCTCGAAAAGGTAACCCGTGTAGTGATCCGAATAGTGGAATAGTATAGGGAGAAGTTGAGAATAGCGGTCCGAATAGTAATAGAGGATAGACTAGAAGTGAAGATCCGTATAGTATAGAGAATAGACTAGAAATAGCGATCAATTAAACGTCATGCATCTTCATATATATGCGTTTCCACTATGGTTACGTGATCCACTTAATTCAATAATGGGATCGCCTGTGTTTACTCACTGTTTAAACTCAAGTGTCGGCAGCGACACTCTATTCTTATATAACACTTTTTAAAAATTTTAATGTGTTCCTGTCAGAGTAACAAAAAGACGGCGCTAGGAACCTTTGCATCAATCCAATACGGTTTCAAACACAGCGGTAGCAGAATAATGATCGGTAGGATCCTGGCTTTCCACTGCAACTTTCGTTTGTCAGACCCTGACTTGTTCATTCTCTCTCTCTCTCTCTCTCTCTCTCTCTCTCTCTCTCTCTCTCTCGGCTTTCTTTGACTGACTCCCAATCATTACAGTTTATTATTTTATTATCTATTTTCATCACTGTAAGAAGGAGTTGCTTGTTATTGGGTTATTCCGTCTCTGGTGTATTTCGTTCGTGACATCAACACAAATTGGATGACTATTATTATTTTTTAATCATTTCACCCACCCCCAAGCAAGGCAATAAAGACACTAAAGCGTAAAGGAGTTAATGAGTGTGAGAGAATATGAGAAAAAGAAAATAATATTAAGGAACATTAAAAGAACAGGAACTAATAAAAGAACAGGAACTTGCATTTAATTTTTTGAAGAAAAAGGTTGACTGGGAAGCAAGAAGCCGGAAGAGAGCTCCATAAGTGAGTAGAGCGATAGAAGAAGCTATTATACTTAAAACTTACGGTTACAATTTCAGCTGTAAAATAATGAGACCTATCTGCCAATCTAGTACTGCACTTGAATTCGTAAAGTCTAGTTACCAAAGAGAAAAGCTCGCCGGAACAATTACCATGAAAATATTTATAGAATAAGAACGGAGATGCTACATTACGCCGGTAGGAAATTTTCACTTACTTCCTCACCGGCGTTTTGTTTTGTTTTGTTTATAACCATTAAAGACAAAACAAAAAAAAAAAAAACATTATTCATGGGTCCTCGGCTTATTTTTAGACACCAGGTCGCTACTCTACAACAAAGAGTCAGGGTCGATTAAAAATTCAGGGAATCGCGAATGGAAATGATATTTTTTTTCTTAATTTTACATTCCAAATTCAGGGTCGTTATTTACTAATTAATAAAGAATAAAACTTTTCTATTGTACATTTAAAATGTAAACAAATCCACAAATTGAAAATTTTAATAATAAACGTGTCGAATTAAAATAATTACGCAACGTTTTTCTATTTTAATTTTAATTTCATGTGATTGTGTAACAATCACGGCAATACCTTCTCTCTAAGTGATTTCAGATAACGGAACAGCAAATCTAACTCCCTCCCTCCGAATTATTTCAGATAACAGAAACATTCCTCCCCTCTGAATGATGAATAAAATTTTAAAATAAATTTAACAAATGGACGAGATTATATTTATTATCTGGTTATATATATATTATAAACACCGAGTTATATTTAATGGAAGAAACAGCTGAAGATACGAGAGGCAGTTATACTGAATAGAATTGTGAGTTTGCGATCAAATGTAGATCAAATATGGATCTGAATCCAACAGAAGAATAATATAAAGAATAAGTAAAGTGTATAAAGTCTTTCCCGTATGTTTTTTTTTTTTTTTTTTATTTATTTTAGATTTGCGTAACGAATGTGAAGATAATTTGCTTAAAAAATAAATAAAATGTCTGGGGTTTTCTTATCACGAATTTTTGTCGAATTCTAAGAAATAAACGTTACTGTTATGGCCTGAAAATGAAAAAGAACCAAAATTTTCGTTGGCGCACGTGTTGACGACTGTCCGTTTGAACTGCATGTCCGATAGTGAGAATGTCACGTGTTTGTGTGTGTAGAGGAGAAAACTAGGGCTGATTCTCATTGGTTTAGAATGAGTGAATTAATGATAATTATAATTGTTATAATTATTTTATTATAATTATTTATGATACTATAATTATTTTTATGGGCACGACAACATGAAGCCACTGATAGACCTGAGATTGTTCAGAATTTGGTAAGTAATTACCGTTAAAATGAATAGTTATTAAAACAAATTATCTATTCTGTCGTTGTACAAGGTTTATAGAGAAATAAATAAATTGAAATAAATAATGACAAGTATGTCAAAATTTCACCATCTCTAAAAATAGATGCATACATAAAATCGCCAGAATTTAACGACATAGTTCGACCAACCAGTCACAAAGCTTTCAGAACCAAAATATATAGTCTCGAACCAATGAGAAGCGAGCACCCTTTTGAAAGCGGATCTATAGATGTGTATATAAACAGATGGAAAATCTCTCACACACAGAACTGATGAGTTAGTTTTGTCCATTCTCCAATGATTCGGTTGTCGTAACATACCCAAACACGAAAAACTAGCAGAATTATAATTAAGCATATTTTACACATAATTATTTGACATATTTAAGAATTCTCAGACTCAAAATTTCGTTCGTAAAATTGCATTCCTGAAATTATTACCACAATGTTCCTTTCGACCCATTCTTCAGCCTTCATCAGGTGTAGAATCAGTAAGAGGAGAATCGAAGAAAATCCCATTTCTTTACAGACTATCAATTTATTTCAGCTACATCGGTATATTAGCAACTATTTTTCTGTCATCATTTTCAGTATGGTGGGATGCTTGTACTTTTCTCTAATGGAAACACCGGCTCCCGTACGATCACCGAAGTTAAACAACGTCGAGCCTTGTCAGTACCTAGATTGGTGACTGCTTGGGAATACCAGGTGAGTGCTGTAAGATTGGATGTGCGTGTGGTGTAATTGATAATAACTTAAAATTGTTAATCGGAGAGCCGAGTTCCAATTCCAGCTGGGTTCCTTTTATTCACTTACGCGTAAATAGCCTTGGAAATGTATGAATACAACTCTTCTACTCTCAGCCATGGGTTAATTAGTAAAACTTCTATAACTAAGCCTTTATTATCGAAAAAAAAATACAAATTAAAAAATTCTGGCTTTAAATAAATTACAAAGGGTTGATAAGTCATAGAAAGATAATAGATCAATCAATCTAACACCAGACTCAAACTGTTCAGCTGTAAGCTTTGATGTTAAAGGAACATAAATATGACATTGCTATTAATAATGGCAATATTAACCTTTTCCTTATAAGGAAACTTTCGCTAGTCCTTGGCCGAGAAACCAGTGCTACTATCGGTGGAAATTTATAAGATCTTTATATTAAAACATATATATTTTTTATATTAAAAAATATTAATTTTTTAGGAAAACAAATTTCTGAAGCCCAGGAACTGTTATTGCTCATTTCATTACTGATGATGGCTTCCTTGCTAATATTTTATTCGAAGTAGTGTGGAATGTCAACCTCTTAAATATATCATCCTTTTTTTTCTGTGAGTTATATATTCTATCCATTTTGGTTATTGTTTTTGCTGAATGTCTTCAAGCAAGATGTTTTCTGCTATTTGTTAACGTTCTTTGTGTGCGATTATGTAGCGCCAGTCCACAACGTTCGAGGAAGGATGGTCCTCAGTAAAACCTACAAGCTTCAATCGCTCAAAGCTATTTTAATAAACTGAAAATGCGGTTGTATACGGATGACAATTCAGATATTTCTGAACGAGCCTGATGTCATGCATGACATCCACATGAAAGTCTCGATTGACGAAGTTATTTAAGAACATGACTCGTGTTTTTGTAGCATCTTGCGTCTTTGGTTACGGTTAGCGCTTCAAATCTATTAATCTTAAAAATGGTCGACCGACTGATTCTTTTCTTCAATTAAAGAGAATTAAAATATAATTGCTGCATTGAATATTGTTACAGAATGCGAATGCCAAGGCCAAAATGGTCAGCGATTGGATCGTGGGAATAGCATTCTGACAGTAATGAATAAGTCCAAAAGGGCTCGAATTCAACAGAGGGTAGCAATAATTCTAAACCGTCGATATGTCTCCCACATCCAGGTTAACGACCGGCAAAGACCACCCACGAAGGGACATTAAGCCAACATGCGACATGCGTTCTTGTGGCGTCATTCCTTCTACTGCCTCTTAGACTCCAAGTTGTCACCACTCTCTCCTTATAAAATTAAAAACAAGAAATGGTCCATTTCATTGATACGGTTTTATGTATTAGGGTGGGGTCACAGAGATGACACAGAACGTAACAATATATCTTTTTTACGTAGGTTTCATATTCCCCATCGGCCCCAGGGTTTGGGGTTCGATCCCTATTAAAACCAAGAAATGCGAATATTGATTTCTTAAAAAACGTATACATCCCAATTGAAAGATTGTTGTAACACCATACTCCTATCCCCATGTCTCCCTGTATGACCATGTGCTAAGGATTTTTCTATGATACCGAATACGATTAGAGGTTTATCCCTTGTTTCCTGTTTAGGGTTGGGTTTCCGGTTCCTTTTAAAGTCGTCTTCAGTTCTATACTTCTATTGTCTCTGCCTGAACTCTGAAATATTTACTAGTTATTTATTTTTTCTCTTAAATAGTAGTAGATAGGTTGGCCTAACGCCCACTACACACTCCTCTTCGGTCTTTTGAACAGGAGTAGAGGTTTATCCCTTGTTTACTGTTTAGGATTGAGTTTCAAGTTCCTTCTAATGTCTTTCATTTCGTTTACTACTAGTAACATATTGCGTCTTAGTGGTATTATCGCCTTGCTTGGAGTGAATTGATTTTTTTTCAAAATGTTTTTTGCATCATCCAAGACTAAAGAAATCTTTCTGAACATCAAATACGACTGTCCTTCGTCGGACATCAAACCGGTATTTTTTTTTACAGCTACGAGGGTGTTATTATTAATATTATTGTGCCATACATTGAAAGTCAATGGAAATTCTGTTCTTGATGCATGTTAACATCAAAACACCTCAAAACTCAAGAGCTTATCGGAGATTCCTAGCAGAGTAAATGATGGCAGGTGTTTGAAGATCTAGTCTTGGTTTCAATTTCAATTTCCTTTAAGCGCTCTTTCAGTTTTCTAGATGGTATTCCAAATGCACCCATTACAACAGATTCTTCAATTCGCTTGCAAAAACCTGGTATTTTTCAATCTTTTCGCTTTATTTAGAGTCCACTTGGATGGAAAAGTAAAATCAATAATTTGACACTTACTACTCTCATTATCTATAAAAACTAGACTACCCGTGACCCGTTGGGTAACTGACGGTTCAGGTTATAAAACAATGAAGTTGATTTCACCATTCCATTTAAATGAAAGTTAATTTTATTATGAGTCAATTAAATATTTCAATTCGTTCGTGTCATCATTGGTCGGGTTTAAAAGTTCATGTTTAACGTTTTACTGATTGTTTACAGCATTTAATAGCAATAGAACTTCCTTTAAGAACTTTAAAGCAGATTAATTTTAAAATATTTTTTAATATTCCAAAAAAATATTTCAAAATTATATTCACTTGAAAATATTTTTTAAATATGCCAAAAAAATGTTTTAATATTTAAAATATTGTTTGTTTAAAGAAAGCTGAAATGTAAATAATTACTCTAAAACAACTGGACGAAACAGCAAAGCGGGATTTCTTTGTGTCTGTCTTTAGCTTAAAAATATTTTAATGCAAAAAAAAGATTGTCTGTTTGAAGAAAGTTAAAATAAAATACTTACTGTAGAAACAACTGGTAAATTATTATAAACCGGAAGGACGCACCAGACAAGCACGCAAGCACACACGCAATCACAGACTATTAGATAGATAGATAGATAGATAGATAGATAGATAGATAGATAGATAGATAGATAGATAGATAGAGTCAGGTCTTCGTACTCCTGTGACATGATGTGTCCGTACCTAAAAATGTCATAATATATTATTATTATTACTATTATTATTATTATTATTATTATTATTATTATTACATTTCCTTTGATTTCTGGTGTGTACAAATTTCTTTCCGGGTCCCGCCAGGAGACCTAAGGTTAGAAATGGCATCATGAGATTTTCCACTAACCAATTAAAAAGTTATTATTATTATTATTATTATTTATTATTATTATTATTATTATAACAGCTTTTCTTATATCTTAAATATCAATTATACAAATTTTAATTCGATTGTTAATAAGCTTGTCTCGTACTGTGGGGTGTGTTTGTTTCTTACTCAGAGTTAAAATATTTGACCTCTTTCCAGACTCAGCTACCCTTAATATATATATATATATATATATATATATATATATATATATATATATATATATATATATATATGGGCACCAACCTTTCTTTCAAACATGTTTCTTTGAATATGCTAAACAAGGAATATGTTGGATTAAATATTTTAGGTAACTCTCTTCTCTAAGTTATTGGATACCATGCTCTGATGAGTTAAATTTTTTTCAGCATTCTATCTTAATAGGAGTTAATTAAGCCAAAGGATCTATGAAACTTACTAATTATCCAATCCAGAGGCCTTCCCGAAAATGTTTGGCCTAAGATTTGAAAAATACCTAATATCTATATGTAATTATATGTAATATTTATAATACAAGTATTTTTACAGAAAAATATTAAAAATAAAATTGTTTACTTACATCCTGGTTTTCAGAAAAAATGTTTTACTTTAACCAGTTTCGCTTTTAAAAAAGTTTGTAAATGTTTATATTCCCACGTGTTGACGCTTATGACTTGAACAAATGAAAAAATCAAGGGGCGTAACTGGTTTTATATGTCGCTTATGGTAAGGAAAATATGATAGAGTCTCTTTTGAGGGACGTGCTTCTAGTTTATACAAGTAATTGTGCATTGGCTTAAACTTGCTGATAGAAAAACGTTTCTTCAGTATTGCGCATTTGTTCGATGGTTTTGTAGTCGCATAGATAGAATAGGAAGATATTAAAATTTGGTAAATTTCGTCCTTCGCATTCCTTTACATATTGGCTAAGGGATATTTTTCTGAGGTGGGGATCCCTAATTTGTCATCCTTTGTCAGCCGTTTTTGACAATGTAATGTTCGTGGCAACCTTTGCATGTTATTATGTATATTAAATTCTCTGAGTTTCACAAGAAATCATTTTTAATTTGATTGCGTCTTTGAAGTAAAATTCGTGGCCTTCTAATATATAGCTGCATGCCCCGTAAAGGGGTCGGTTGCATCTTTTCACATGAGGCTCTTTAATTGTGTCTTTCAGTTTTGCGTTTGTAGGTATCTTCTTTAGTCATTTTGGTTATCATTTACATTTTATGAGTGGAATATTTTTGTAATAGGTTTTTCTTTATTTTGTCCTTTAGTAGGATTGGTAGATTTAGTTGTATTTATGTGTAGATTTCTGTGTTCTTTAGGTTGAAAGTTGAGATATGAGGGATGCTCTTTTTTTCTTTTTGTTTCACGGAGTGTGGATATTAATTTGCTTTGCTATTTCGATGCTAAGTTGATTAAACTTTGAGGGTATTTTCTCTTGATGAGTATTTTTTTCCATTTCTTCTAGTCTGTAGTCTCTTGTCGTTGTGAGACTGCTGTACAGATTCGTTTGTCTAGGTTGAGTGGCATGTTGGTATGAGTGCGTTTCCGATAGGAAGATTATAAAATGGAGACACTGTCGAAAGTTAGTAGGTTTAAAATATATGGTGGTTTCTAGTTTTATGTTTCATTTTGTGATTAATATATCTAAAAATGGAAATCTTTTGTTGCTCTCCGCCATTGTAAATTAAATGCTAGAATTTATATTACTTACTAGCTGCCATACCGAGCTGGTCGATCAGAAAAAGTGTTCAATTAGAATGGATCAAAAACAGCAT